GCTGAAGCTGGGGGTATCCGGCCTCTCGCCCAAGCACCCGGTGGGGAGAAGGGCGAGGAGGCCCCCCTGGAAAGGCGCCCCCACCCTCATAGACGCCAGGACGCGTGTGAATTTCGGCGCTTTGACCTTCCAGGAGAGCAGGGAGCATCGCCAGGAAACCGCAGGGACACAGTCCACTAACCCTCCGTGCCCTGCTGCCCCCGGGCCGCTGGACTCTCACCCAGGGCAAAACACACAGTGGGGCCCGGCGGGAGAGGGGCTCCCACGGGGGTCCCGGTAGTAGGGCTGGGTTTGGAAAGCCTTTCCTGAGCCCTGGGGTCAGCGATTTGGAGAAGATGCTGTTAGCTCAGGGACTGGGGGGGAAGTGGGGGGGACTGGATTCCATGTCCTGCACTCCAGAGCCAGCCCTGATCCCAGGCTTAGGAATGAAGGGACTTCCTGTCGGCCCCCACCAGCAGCCCCGCTGAAGGGCGGAGTCAAGGTGGAGGGGCCCTGGCGGTCTGCCCCTAGGCTAAGCCCAGTTCCCATGGGAGTCCCCAGGGACCATGACGGTCAGGCTGGCCCTGTGCCCAGCCAAAGACCTGCCAGGGTGGAGACGGCCCAGGAAGACGCGCGGCCACAGCGCCGTCTGCCGGCAGCCCGCTACACACGCGCAAAAACCCGGTCCGAGGGCTCCCCAGTCCAGGCTGCCACCACCAGGAGGGTCCCCTCCAAACCCCACACCCTCTTGTAGATTCGGCTTCTCCATCCCCCTCCCCAGTATCATCCCTGAACTGCCTAGCCTAGCTTGAAAGACCGCCCCCCACCCCCAGGCTACGCGCCCGTCCGAGCACTCCCTCATCATGGTCCAGGGACCCCACCCCAGGATGATCCGTGCCCAGAGCCAGAGGAGTGGGCTGGAGCAGGGCACAAAGCCAGGGGTTTTTGCAAGGCACCAAGGGACCACCTTGTAGGAGAGGGCATCCTCCTCGAAGGCAGAGCAACCCCCTTGACAAGCAGGAGAGTGAGTGCGTCCAGAAGCCTCAGAGAGCAGCAGGGAAGCGAGTGTTGGGGTGAGGGGTCCCCAACACTCAAACAGGCCCTCAGGAGCAACTTTGAGATTGTGGGAAATAAGACAGACAGACCAGACAGTAGGGCACAGGGGGTCTCCGCCCCATGTCCGGACTGAGAGTGAATGTATTATCCAATGGGTCCGTGTAATGGGACTTACAGATCTTTTGATAGGCATACAGGTCGTAACAGTGACTGTCTTACAAAGGCAGTGGGTGATAGGAATACAAAATAAAGCCCTGAGGCAATTCAGGTGATTCACCTCTTGACCTCTGTATTCCTTAGTGGAGCTCCTAAGCTCTCCTAAGTGCCCCTAAGCTCTCCTCCGGGAACAAGCTAAGATCCCTATCAACCAGCGATGTCAAAACAGAGGTTGCTACATTTTAAGGTGGGTGCCTTATAGAACTGATTGCTCCTATCTACCGATAACCTTCAGGCACAGTGAGTAGCCAGGTGCAGGGGTGTGACATCTTTCACGGCAGCTCCTTCAAGACTGCTCCTGTTACAGGGGCTCCTCTTCGGCCTGGAGAACGTGTATTTGAAAAGCATTTCTATCTCAGAACACTAGAGATCTTTCTCGAAATAGGGCTCGTTTTCCGTGCCCGTGTTTGCGCGTGTAGAAAAAGGTAAGTGTTCTACCCAGCCCTCAGGTACCACAACGAGTCCTTGCAAGTGACTGATGGCACTGGTGATGGTGTTCCAGTCCCGGCCCACAGCTGCCGGATTCACAACCGAACGAACGCCGCCCGGTCCTGCCCCCCACCACCACCACCACCATCAGAAGGTTTGAGCCCATCGTTGCAGCGCTGGGTTAATCTGTCTCGCCAAGGGCTTTCCTCTGTTCCACGGACTCTCTTCCAAGCATGTTAACCTTTTGCTTTTTTTTTT